ATGATATAATTGCAAAATTACCTAACCCATTAATTTTGTCCAGCACTCATTTTCTTTCAATGTGTAAAAAAGCGAAACAGTTTTATGAATTAATCAATGTAAATGATATTGAACCCACTGGGAAAACAAGATGGAATGATATTTTTAATTTAGGGGAAAGTGAATGGAAAAGGATTTTTAAACTTCCATTTAAGATTACAAAAAATAGTAAACTGCAATGGTTTCAATACAGAATTCTAAATAAAATACTAGGTACAAAATCATATCTATGTAAAATAAGGAAAAGAGATAATAACTTATGTTCTTTCTGCAATATGGAAGAAGAAACAATAATACATATTTTATGGGAGTGTGACAATGTACAAACCTTCCTCAACAGTTTTGAAACATATTGTGAGCAAAAGATAGGGTTGCAACTTTCATTTACAAAGCAAAATTTTATTTTGGGATTTCTAGTAAAAAACAAAGACATTCATAACTTGCTGTTCCTATGGATAAAATATTATATATATACAATGAGATGCTTAGGAAAAAAATTAGATGTCAGACTTGCGACTTCACATATTAATTTTTTTTATGAAACTCAAAAATATTTAGCATATAAAAATGGTGACAGAGAGATTTTTGACACCGACTGGAATCAGTGGAATCAATTGTTTTTATGAAATGAAAAAGTTTTTTTTGTTTATTTATGTAAAAGAATTAACATGCCATCTCTCTCTCTCCCTCTCTCTCCCCCCTCTATCTCTCTCTTTCATCTCTCTCTCTCTCTCTCTCTCTCTCTGAAAAACCAATCTGTACTATGATAAAATGTGTATTTTGATTTATAAAACAGATTGTGTAAAATAAATAAAGAATTAAAAAAAAAAAAAATTTCTTGTTTGAACTTAATTTGATGTTGCTCTCACCCCAGTCTAATTTTTATTACCATTCTCCAGACATTTTCTATAACATTAATATCTGGAGATTGCCATGGCCAGTCTAAACATGGAATGTTAAATAAATTCCATTATCATAATTTTTAGCTCGTTCATCCATGAAGAATTTTTAATTTGCCATAAATGATCAGCCAAAATACATGTAGTTATATACTTCTCTGTTTTTAAATTACCATCAGTGGGGTTAGGGTACCGACACCAGAGTAGGAAATACAGCCCCCAAATGAGGCGGTGATACGGGCGCCGCCCTTATGCATTGAACGCAGTCCTAAGCACTCTGACTTCCACCTTTCCTCTGCTTTCCTCCAGACGTACAAATGTTGTTCAGGCTAGCTCAAGAACAACTTAAGTTTCTTCGGAAAACACTATATTTTTCCACTGATCATCGACAGTCCAATGTTGATGATCTTTACACTAATCAGATGTCTTTTTCTGTTGACAGGGTTTTCGCTACTTTATGTCATGTGTAATTTAGCTGATGTAATTTTCTCTGGAATGACCGTTTAGAAACTGAACGAAGTATAGAACAATTAGTTTCTTCATTTAAATCTCCTAAATTCTGTCTACCATATAGAAGAACTCACCTTTTTAGCAATCATCTCTGACTAAACTCTCATCTTTTTAGGTACAGTAACCCGCTTCGTTGGTCATTTTCGATACTATTCCGTATATCTCGCATATCGTTTCAAAAGCTTTGATATGGTAGATCAATCGTATCCAGTTAATTGTGCTATTTCAACTTTTCCTACCCTCATTGTCTAAAAGAAGTATATGTTGTTTTAGATCGCTCGTCATTACTCGATAATTTGAAGCCATATTTTGTTTAAGTCTGCTACTGTTATAAAAATAGACCCGCGTACTCTGGGGAACTCCCAGATGACGCAGATAATTGCTGACAAGGTCATTAAACTTGTGAATATTGGTAAATAGTTTTAAACGAGAGTGTTGATACTGTTTCATTAACTTGTTTGATAAAAGCTTGCTTTTATTAAGAAAAGTATATTTCCTCTGAATAACATGCTTTTGTGTATCGAATCAACTGGAAGACAATAACCCATGCATATGCACGTGATAAAGGTTCATGCAAATTATCTCCATACATCTTACCGTGGTATATATCGAAAATAATCTAGCCACAACCTGTTAAGAAAACTAAAAGGTATTAAAGTACCTTTCTGGCGTAATTAAATTGAGGAAATTGGAGGTGTCATATAAAAATTTGAATTTTTCAATTAAAATTCGTCATATACAAATTTTAATTGAAAAATTCAAATTTTTGTAGAGGACAGAGGCATCATATTATGGTGTACTTCAAAGTAAAATGCAGGGAACAGACAATTAAGACCAAACGGTGATTTTCCTTTTATAGGCCTAATCATTCAGTAACTACTTTCATAGGCCTTATCATTCAGTAACTACTTTTACAGGCCTTATCATTCAGTAACTACTTTTATAGGCCTTATCATTCAGTAACTACTTTTATAGGCCTTATCATTCAGTAACTACTTTTATAGGCCTTATCATTCAGTAACTGCTTTTATAGGCCTTATCATTCAGTAACTGCTTTTACAGGCCTTATCATTCAGTAACTGCTTTTATAGGCCTTATCATTCAGTAACTACTTTTATAGGCCTTATCATTCAGTAACTAATTTTATAGGCCTTATCATTCAGTAACTACTTTCATAGGCCTTATCATTCAGTAACTACTTTTATAGGCCTTATCATTCAGTAACTACTTTTTGGTCCGCGGTAGCAAGTCTATCTGATACAAAGTATGTATGAAATTTCAGTCTGACTGATTGTAAACTGGGATATGAGTTAATTTAAACGCTCCTCTCTCCGCGGGCAATTCGTTAACTCGAACAAAATGTACTTTATTAGATAAAGACTACCTTAGTCCACAAACGGATGGGCGTATATATACAGTTTCCTTGAGATATTGTGCATTAACCAAAATGGTATATACAGTTTCTTATCCCAGTTATTCCAAGACCTTTGAACATTTTAGCCTTTTCTCTAAACTTATGGAAGAATTTTAATTTAATTGGAGACATAGCTTCTATAGATGAAAACTAGTAATTTTTATTTCTCTCTTTCAGTATGAAGCCCTTGTTTTCAAATTTCCTCCTCAATTTAACGTTCTTGTTCAATTTTATTATGCCTTCTCTTAATGGAGGGTAGGGAGTGGCAGCTAGGACTCTTTTCTATGTATCTAAATAATACCCCCGCTTCCCATATGGTTTAATGGCAAAGTCCATGATTTGCTTAATGAGACTCGAAATAAGTATATCAGATCAAAAAGTAAAATTTAATTCAGGGATAAAGTTCAAAACTACGTTGCGTCTGTTTGTATAATGGTCTACAAGTCTGGAGAAATGAAGAACGATCAACAAGGATAACTTTGTGTATTTGTGTCTGGCATTTAGCCTTGTATCTTTTCTTATTCTTTTGCTACTTTAAGTGATCGTGGCCCAGCAGTACTCAGAGTTTAAAATTGTGACCTTACTTTTTGTCATCTACATGATGTTCATAAAGAGTTGATACATGTATGGCCAACTGATGAATAAAACCTGGCGCTGGGGGGAAATCGTTGTTTCGTCATTGACAGACTAGACAAAGTAAGCTGCTATTACATGTGATATCATTTGTGTAGGAAGTGTTTCACTGTTAGACAAATTGGGTACAGTAACGTGATCCAAATTAATTTCTAACAATTTGATATAGGCCTTATATCAATTCATGTGTTTCCTATTGTCGTACGTGATTTGATGCTCAGTTAGCCACTGAGCTACATACGTATACAGTTTTCATAAATACTGGAATGTTCCAGAAATACATTTTCATGTCAAAAATAAAACTAAGAGGATACCAATATGTTAATTGTTAGATAGAGATGAAAAAAGCAGTTGCTTATCCTCCCATTCTAACTGGTAGACAGAATTAATTTTTCTTCAAATTATGAATCAGTCGTAATTAGGTCATAACTAGGTAATTAGGCCGCTTGAAAAGTGGAGGGTGTAAGGTGATCGGGATGTCCGTCCGTCTGTTACACTTTTGGATACCCATCTCTTATCCGCACCTCCTCTTACACCACGGAATGAAATTTAATGAGTCTTTATTCACTTAACAAAATTCTTGTTTGTACATAGTGCCATTGTGACCTCCTATCTTATTTTTGATCCGACAAATATTTTCACGTATCCTGGACACTGCCATTCTTTCTATAATATTTAAGGGTACCCAATATTACAGAGGCTTATAGTCAGATTTTATAGAAAAAATACGTCTTACGGCAAATAATTATTAATTGATTAATCATTACTTAGTCCAGCATAGTCTTAAACGTATTTCAAGTATGCTATATCTGAAAAAAATATGCTGGCCTTCATAAAATGACGTTAAAAAGGTTAAAATGGCGATTCAAAATGACAGACATTCATTTTTTTCCTAATTTTCTTTTAATGTTGTTCGAATAGTATAAATAATGTGTGATTTTTTTTTCAAATAAAGATTATTATTTAATTTATTAAGGAGACATGAATTTAATGAGTCTAACGAATTGCTTTTGAATAATAATAAAATGAATGTACATTCATTCTACCTCGCATTCAAACTTCTTGCTAATTTGGTAAAGCAGATGTTCTAACTTCATCATCACTGCAAGAGCACTGACTGATTGTCGATTGTTAATTAGAGTGGTCGCCCGCGTGGCGCAGTGGTTAGAGCGTCTGCTCTAAAGTCGCGAAGCAAGGAGTCAATCCTTACGTCGCGGGTTCGAATCACACTGTGGGACGTGGAGACCGGTCCTTCGGATGAGACCGTGTAAACCGAGGCCCCATGTCGCAGTAGGTGCTGGCACGAAAAAGATCCCTCACTGCTCAATGGCCCTGAGTGCAGAGTATAGGACAAAATTTGTAGCTCTCCACCGGCAAGTGTTGGCGTCTCCATATGAGTGAAAAATTCTCGAGAGGGACGTTAAACAACATACCATTAATCAATCAATCAGTTTAAGTGTTGCAAAGATAAAAATAATTTGTATTATTCCACACTTCCAGGTAACCTAATGGTGCTAACAGCGATCGTGCGAACCGCTCGGTTACGGAGTCTGACCAACTTTTTTCTGGCTAACTTGGCCATCGCAGACTTCAGCGTGGGTGTTTTCTGTGTCTTGCCGAACCTTTCCACATTCCTGTCTCAGCCCTGGATCTTGGGAAGAGTAAGTCTCGGTAGCATTGTCTTCTTTAATGTTTAACATGGTCAGCTGCAGCGGCACGAAAATAAAAGGCAAAAAAGGACATGAAGTCCTCTCTCAGTATTTCCCAGTGTAAAATATTCTTAGCTTATCTCATTCTTTTATTTGCTTGACAATCACGACCAAGGATAAGGAAATTGGTTAGGAAGGTAGGGACAATATTTTTTAAAGATATATTTTTCAACAGCAATGCTGAATTTTGAGTTTGAGGGATTGTAAATATTTTAGAGGAACTGAAAAGTATTTTTTAAAATTTATTTTTAAAAAATATTTTGAATCGAGAAATTTTGATCATACTTTGGGGGAATGTTTTAAAGATTGCTTTACTTCCTGTTTAAATATGGTCCCAGAATAACTAACTTCATTTCGACCCTTTTAAAATAGGATGGACTTAAATTTAAACTTCAGTCTTTTAATAACAAGAACTGATTTGAATGCATATTTCTATTTTATATCATATTTGAACATTATGATTGTTTAAGGTTTGTCACTCGTCAGCTTTTAAGAAAAGTTCACGCAGAACCTCTTACGTCAAAACTATTCATTAAAACTACAAAGAGGCAAGATTTATGAGGGACTATTCTTGTGGTGAAAGGATATTTAGCAGATAATTCTGCAAATCAGCACATCTATTAAATTTGATATCATGGAACTTTAGCCTAACATACTTTTACTCGGAGAATATTTTTCGTTATAATATTGCTAGGAATATTTAATATAGGTCCTATTATATATTTTTAGAACCAGTTTTACATCTTCCTTTAACAAATGTTGCCAAAAAATGAAGATATGTCTAATAAGTCAAGATAAAATTTACATAATTTTTCGCCTGAAAATCACATATTTTGACCAATATTTCAAAATAAACATCACTGACCCCAACTTTTTCTTTCATTATTGTAAAGTACTCGATACTTGTGACTGAACAGCACTAAAAATGTAAAAAGCTTGATTTAAGAAAATGTTTTATTGCCTATTTAGTTTTTTAATATCCAAAATATGTTACTTTTTAGTGCAAAAAGGTCACACAATAATTTACGCGCATTAATTTGCAAGTTTTGTTCAATGATAAATATTATTCAAACTATTTTACGTAAAATGAAATTATATTTATTGCCATGGTTACATCTGATGAAATATGTTAAAGGCTAAAGTAAATAACCAAAGAGTTAGAATTTAAGTGCAATTGTACCGTAGATCAGTAAGATGCACACTGACCCCCTATTTTCTCAGCGATTTTGAGTCATACCATATGAGTACTTATCTAAAATATACTTTAAAAAAATCGTTGATTTAACCAATTTCACGAGTGACATACCTTAAAAGATATTTTTATGAAAGACTTACAAAAGTTCAAACCCGAATGTTTTGTTCCCTGTAGAGAACAATAATTATGAGGCCATGACATTTTTTTTAATTCTTTTTACACAGGCTATGTGCAAGATTTACTACTTTATGTGGAATTTGAGTTATACTGTGTCCATTCTGATTCTGACGGCAATTGCTATTGAAAGATACATTGCCATTAGGTTTCCCCTGAAAGCTCGAGGGTGTTTTACATCAAGAAGGCTTATCCTGACTCAAGTGGTAATCTGGCTTGTTGCGGCCATCTACAGCACGCCATATCTCCTTATATTAGACACGATTTCAACCAGTGATATTGATGGAAAAGTAGTGGAATATTGTTTCTACAGAAACAAACTGATAAATATGAAGATTTACACAACGGCCAATTTCATTGCATGGTACACCATACCTCTATTAATAATGATGATCATTTATTACTGCATTGGCAAGATTTTGTGGAGAACGAGCTCCATTTACAGATTCACTTCGTCTAAGACTCTAAGCAAGCCACCAGATGAGTACGGGTTTACTACTAGCAGCTCCCAGAGCTCGGGTTTGGGATCTCAGCTGCTGAAAATGAGGAGTCTACAAAACACTGACTGTCAATTGGTCCAAAACGAGCCCATGTCCCTTAAAAGCGGCCGAGGCTTTTCTATAAAGAGGCGAGATAACTTTCAACCCGAGAATGTCCAGTATAGTCCACGAAATCACTTTTTAAGAGTTACATCTTTTATCTCGAGAAATGAATCAACGAATACAGCTAAGACGGCCACACCCGATCCTTTGCGGTTACGCAGCATCAAAGCAGTGCGCAGCCGCCGTAAGGTCATCAGGCTTCTAGTCGCTGTTGTCGTTCTGTTTGCTCTGTGTGTTCTTCCACATCATATACGCCTTCTGCTAAAATGGTGGGGAATACGATCAGTCCTCAATGCGGGAATATTCTCCCCAATTTCGTTTTTAATTCTATATTCAAACAGTGCTTTTAATCCAATTTTATATGCCTTATTCTCAGCAAATTTTAGAAAAAGTTTCTCCGAGTTGAGTCCTCTCAGATTTCTGAGACGCAGAAAACGTTCGCTTCTTTTTCAGGAAACGAAGCTTTTTGGGATTAACTGACAAATAATAAGAATGGTGACAAATAAATAAATAAATAATACATATCTTGATAATGTGGACTTCATTTTTAAATTCACAATTTAACAATGGAAAATAGACTGTTTATTATAACTTTTGTATTATTATCATACATGTATATATCTTGTTCTATATTCATTATATTCATATATCTGGTAATTTAAATTCAATACTTTGGATTTCTTTACAATTTTGCATATTTTTTAAAGTTTTAAGTTTGTTTTGTTGATGCACTTCAGTAACAAATTTTGCATTGTATTTGTTTCATATAAAAAAAAATAAACCCTTTTCGTTTTGTACTTCATTGCATTATTTTGTCTCTCTTCTTTATCAGTAACCAAGCTTACATGTAAGGAAAATCAGCTGATCTTGATTTAGACTCCGTACCAAGTAATTGTGAACTCATATAGAACAAATATACTCTCTGATAGGGAAAACTTGTTATTGTATTGTATTGTATTGTATTGTACTTGTAGATATAACGTTTTTCTAGAATTACAAGTTGAGCATGTAGTTAATATCTATTGAAAAACAAGATGTGTTTGTGAAACACTGATGTCCCCTTATGGCAGCTTGTTGCAAAGGTTGAAGTTTTTGTAAATCAAACTTCAAGGTCAAAATTGTTGGTATCTGGAGGAAGGTCTTTTCTATTGAAAGCTGAAATATGATATTAGCCTTAGTGCTAACTGTTCAAAAGTTATGACCAAGGTCAAAGTTTTTATGCGCCCGAATCGAAAGATCCGAGGCGTATATTGTTTTTGTCCTGTCTGTCTGTCTGTTTATCTGCAAACTTTAACTTTCGCCATAACTTTTGAACCATGAATGAAAGAGATTGCATATTTGGGAAACATTCTCCACTAATTAAGCTCTTTCAAATGACAGCAAGGTCAATAGCCTTGTGACCTTGACTGTGACCTATATGCTAAAAATAGTTTTTGTCGACAAACTTTAACCTTCGCCATAACTTTTGAACTATAAAAGATAGAGACTTCATATTTTGTATGCATACATCACTGATTAAGCTCTTTTCAATGACACCATAGTCAATGACCTTGTGACCTTCACTGTGACCTATATGCTAAATATAGCCTTTTACCTTCACCATAACTTTTGAACCATGAGAGATAGAGACTTCATATTTGGTATGCATTCGTCTCTAATCTAGTTCTTTCAAATGACACCAAGATCAATGACCTTGTGACCTTGACTGTGACCTATATGCTAAAATGTTTTTTTTCTTAATTTGTTGCCGCCGGGCGCATAGTGTTTCACAAACACATCTAGTTTTTTACAAAGAGAGTCGAACTCTAAGTCCAAGGTCAAAAATATTAATGATCAATTGAAAGGTCTAGCCACAATAAATACTTCTGTGAAGTTTGAAAGCACTATCATCAACTGCTCAAACGTTATGGCCAAGGTTTTGTAAAAGTGGGTCAAACTCCTTTGTCAAGAGACCAATTTTGGTGATACCCAAAGAAAGGTCTTGTCACAAGGAATACACCTGTAAAATATGAAAGTCATAGCCTAACCCAGTCATGCTATAGGTAAGGTTAAATTTGTGAAGACAAAGAGACAGACAGACGGGCGGACAAGGCAAGAATAATATAACGTTGAATCTTCGATTACGGGGGTATAATAATAAGCAAAAACACCACAGGGAACGTCAACTTGTTTGACCCATGAAAATTGCACAGCGATCTTACAGCTGTATAAATTACACGGAGTGCGCCTTTCCTGACAATGTGGAGTCATTTTAGCTTTCAAAAGAAATGCATTGGAATGCATACTTCTCTTTTACTATAATTTATAATCATGATAGTATGGGGCTTCTATTTTGTAATCAAACCGTCTGCAAGTGTGTTCGAGATCTATTATCTTTTAATGATCAGGAAAATATAATGCCTGAGCGAGTCGTAGGAGTAACTCAGACGAGACTACCAATTCATCAGAAAATTACTAACGGCAGTAGCCTTATAGAGCACGAGAGTTTCTGTGACACGATATTTTGGAACAATTCATTAGTAAGATTGTGCAGAAATGATTTTGTAAATGGATATCTAGACTAGGTATCCATTTACAAAATCATTTCTGCACAATCTTACTAATAAATAGTTCCAATATATCGTATCACAGATACTCTCTAAGTGCAATATTATTGGCAAGGCAAATATTTATATAAAAACATGCTTAAAATATATTTTAGATGTTTTTAAAATTAGTAAAAAAAGCTTACAATATGACATGAATTCTACAAAAATAAAACATAACTTATTAAAAAAACTTTGCAACAATCAATCATGCCTTCTTTTAATGTCAATGAAGAAACACATGATCTGATCCAAAACATCACAGCTAAAATCAAAAATAAAAATATTTCTGAGACAGTAATCAAGTTATAATTTAAACCATGTAGAAAGGAAACTATTTTTTATTAAAGAACTCATCTGTAGTTTCATTAATATTCGTTGAGCACCAATTTTCGAGGATTTCGTTGTTGAGCGGATCCACGAATTTAAATGTTCATTGAATATAGAAATATGTTATTCATTTGTATAGGCCATGCTTTTGTCCATGAAATTACGTATCATCGAAAACGGCTGTTTTACAAATCCACGAAAATTGATGCCAACTAAAATTGATAAAACCACAGTATTCAATTTTCTTGAAATAATGGAGCTGGAGTTTGGAAGGCTAAAAGAAGCAGGAGCATTTAATATACACATGTCTACTTCTACAGATAAGCATGGTCGTGTTATTCCTAGTGATATAGAGGCGCCTTTAGTCCTAGTGATATAGAGGCATCCTTAATCCTAGTGATGTAGAGGCGTCCTTAGTCCTATACATATAGAGGTGTCGATAATGAGTGGCCCTCAGCCCTAGAGATGTAGAGGCATCCTTAGTCCTAATCATGTAGAGTCCTAGTGATGTAGAGGCGTCCTTAGTTCTAATGATGTAGAGGCGTCCTTTGTCCTAGTGATATAGAGGCATCCTTAGTCCTAGTGATAGGCGTCCTTAGTCCTAGTGATGTAGAGGCATCCTTAGTCCTAGTGATGTAAAGGCGTCCTTAGCTCTAGTGATGTAAAGGCGTTCTTGCTCCTAGTGATGTAAAGGCGTCCTTAGTCCTAGTGATGTAGAGGCGTCCTTAGCTCTAGTGATGTAAAGGCGTTCTTGCTCCTAGTGATGTAAAGGCGTCCTTAGTCCTAGTGATGTAGAGGCGTCCTTAGCTCTAGTGATGTAAAGGCGTCCTTGGTCCTAGTGAAGAAAAGGCGTCCTTAGATAAATTTTAGATTTTGTGAAAGATATAACGTTTTCCTCATGACCATAGTTCTGTTGTGTTTGTTATGTAATGTTAGTGTTCCCATGATTATATATGTTTAAATCAATGTTATGATGTTTTGCGTTGAAAACGATCCTAAAAATTTTTTTTTTTCATTGCATTTGTTTCAACGAAAAAAAATTAATAACGCAAAATGTAACTTATTACATTTTGCGTCATTACATTCTGCGTTGATCTCGACTCAAAATGTAATAATCCCAGTTTATTATATTTTTCGGCGTTATTACATTTCGCGTTGTAACAATGCATCTTGTCTGCTAATTTTTGTTCTAACTAAGATAGGATTTTAATCAATACACGTTTTTAAAATTCTAGTCCCCTTACAATAGTATTGAGCAGTGAGCACCAATATGAGGATAATGTATTATCTTGGACAGACGCAATAAATCAAAGACAAATTTTCTATGTTTTTTTTCCATTTATTTGGCACTTTTGGGCACGGCTGAATTAATATAACAACATATTATTTCGGGTCTCCAAAGCAATGAGTAGGCCCAGCAACAACAACAACATTTCAGTTCAACAACAACATTTCAGTTCAACAACATTTCAGTACAATATCCACATATCAGGTGACCTTGACCTGGGAGATGTAGAGGTAAAGGTCAACAACATTTCAGTACAACATCAAGATATCAGGTGATCTTGACCCCTGGAGATGCAAAGGTCAAGGTCAAATAATAAAAACTTGCAGTGCAACAATAATATTGACACATCCACGACCCTGGGAGGTGCAGAAGTCAAGGAAGAAAATAAACAGTTTTGTTTACACTGTCACAATATTTTACATGGTATTCAACTTTGACCCTGTGTGGTGCAGCGGTCCAATAATGAATAAATAATACATCATAGTTCAAGTGATGTATGCCGCTCAGTTCGCAGTCCATCTTCAGAAGTGACAGCCGTGCCGAATATGTAGGTACAGATGACCAGTTGCTATGTAAAACTCAGTTCGCATTCCATCTTCAGAAGTGAGAGCCGTTCCGAATATGTAGGTACATATGACCACTTGCTTTGTAAAAGTCAGTTCGCAGTCCATCTTCAGGAGTAACAGCTATGCTGAATACGTAGGTATAAATGACCACTTGCTTTGTGAAGCTCAGAAATGTCAGTTCGCAGTCCATCTTGAGAAGTGACATCCATGCCGAATATGTAGGTATAGATGACCATTTGCTTTGTAAAACTTTCCACTGAAAAGAAAAAAACCCAGTTACCACCAGTATCTAATGGGGGGATTAAGGGTGTGATTTCTAAAATCTACACTTAGCCATTGCTTTCTAAAATTTGATTAACACCAACCTTGCAACTAGCGTGTAACCGGCAAAGAGAAAGTTTGCAGCACGAGCACCTTTCTTTATATAATTGACAGTTAGATAACTCGTGCCAAAACAAGGAGATGTAACTGCGCCAAAAAATATTGCGCTTCCAAGATAAAAGCATCTTATTTCCATACGGGCGAGATAGATGCCATATTATCTTGGACAGACGCAATAAATCAAAGACAATTTTTTATGTTTTTTTTTTTATTTGGCGCTTTTGTGCTGAATAATATAACACCATATTATTTCGGGCCGCCAAAACAATGAGTAGGCCCAGCAACAACAACAACATTTCAGTTCAACGTCAACATATCAGGTGACCTTGACCCTGGGAGATGCAGAGGTAAAGGTCAACGACATTTCAGTACAACATCAAGATATCAGGTGACCTTGACCCCTGGAGATGCAGAGGACAAGGTCAAATAATAAAAACTTGCAGTGCAACAATAATATTGACACATCCACGACTCTGGGAGTCAAGGAAGAAAGTAAAC